CCGTAAGAGGAAGAGGAGTATTCATGCAAATTATAATCCATCAATTATTTTGCTCATGTTTGATTGGTGTAGAGGTATCACATCATCAAAGATGACCCAGCTAAAACTGGGGAACATCTGGTGATGCTCTCTAAAAGATATTCCTCAATTTTTAAACCTTATGTCCCCAAGTCTTCATTTAAGATCTTTATGCTGGTCTATTTGTCCTTCAAAATCAACTGTACCATGCTGCTCACAGTTTTCCAACAGCATAGCTGAAGGAAAACTGTTCAATTCCTGGAACATACATCCAAGCATATTTTCAATTGAAATAGAGACCATGGTTTATTTAAGGACTATAGTATAAGATTGCCAGTCTTGACAGGTCAATCATTTCCTGTTTCACTCTTCAGCTTTGTTTTCCTTCCTTACCTGCCCCACGAGCAGCAATTTTTGACTCAGTTTGAGCCAAGAGTTCACCACGGCTTACTCTGGATGCTTCGATTTCAGCTTCTGCTCTGGATAACTTCTCTGTTAGCTATACAAAATACCGCAGGTAAAACAAAAATGTTAAATTCAGTGGTAGGTCAAGCAAGGATTATTTATGAGGATATAATTTTTCTTTTGTTTTCAGAAAAAGTTTCCACATGTATTTTTTACTCTGTTTTATTTGGACATAAAAATATTACAATGTAATATTCATAAACTTTAGATACAATAAATCACTATAAACCCTTCAACTCCCAGAAGTGATTAACATGCAACTTCTCCCTATAATATCAATACATTTTCCCACAAACAAGTAATGAGAATACTCAAACTTATCAGGTAGAAGTTGTTATCTTGATCTAACACCAAATTCTCATAACTAATTTACAAGGAAATATTTAGCAGTTAGAGGGGAAAATTAAACAATCAGATCTTGGTAATAAAAGGGTTTAAATAAATATATTGTTTTCTGTGTTTGTCAAAATATCTTACATATAGCTGCCAATTATATTGTGCTGTTTACCACTATATTGGTTAAAAAAGTTAAATGAAAATTACTCATTTTGTAAGCAAACCCTTAAAAATTGCAACTGAATTACCTGTAGATTCAAGCGCTGTGCAAGGGATAATTCTTCCCTAAATGAGGAAGTATCCTCTCCAAAACTGCTTGCCGTATTCATGAGTGAATATCCTTCATTCTCTGCACGCAAGCTCATAGTTTTTTCCTTGTATAATTCTTCAGTTTTCTCTGCTAATTCTGCCTCCAAGGTTTTTCTTAATGACTTTTCTGCATCCAGAAGTTTATCCCTAAATTACAATTTACATTGTTTATCAAAAGTACTTAAAATACATTTGTCTAAATTTCTCTTGGTTCCAATATCCACAATTTTTGCAAGTTGTATTATTCATCAACAGTGATTATTGGTAGTATTATACAAAGGGTATGATGTTGTTGTATTAATAACATGTCTATAGATAACATCAACTATTTTTACCAACAATTGAAAGTGATTCTCATTAATCTTATATGTGCACTATTAAGTTTAATAGGAAGAAGACTACCAAACGTTTTTGTCATATTTCTAGGGCTGAGAACGGTTCGTGCCTTGTCAAGTGTTTTTTGTCATAAAAATTAAATCTGACGTACTTCAGTGGATAATTTTATTACTAAATTTGCATTTAAGAACACTTTGAAAGATAAAAAAAATTAATATCATTGGTTGTTTTAATCTTTGTCTATTCGTTATTCAGGATCACAGTACTTATTTACAAAGTTGATACTTCGTATATGTATGCAAACTTACCATAAAATCTGTCCAAGGTGTTGAAGCTAAATTGGCCGGTTGCCATAATGTTTTGGAAAAGAAGACTTCACAGCTTTGCAATTACACCGTACATTAATTTTGTTCGACGAATTTTGTATAAAAACTCCGACTTTGAGACCAGCAATTAAAGCAGAAAATGCCACACAATGAAACAGCGGAAATAAGTCATCACAGAGTTTACATCGATCGATAAAAACTTCTAAATCATTTTTTAAAACTCAGCACCAGCAAAGTTGTGGAGAGTCAGACATGTTTGTTTATCGCAAACAGCAGGTTGATGGAAACAAGACACCTCAGGACCACATTTTAAAACGATGAAACGATACAATAGTCAAACGAAAGAAAATTAAATACACACTGCAATTAAAATGTTAAAAATACTTTCAAAAGCCCTCGAGACCCGTACGCGCATTAAAGGAATTCTACGAATAATCCAGAACCTCATACTGTCATGGTCGTACTGTCGTTCAACTTTGCGGGAGTTTAGCTCTCTAAACTATTCAACCGAGTCATCAAAACTTCCTCTCTTAGTTTCTTGTGCTAGTATTTAATTCTAACAAATAAATAAACACACGATCAAGACTTGTAATCAACGCTCGAAGCTCGATGGCGTCCATGCAAAGTTGCGTTGCTACACAAGTTCAGAAACAAACTGATATCCGTAGACCATCAAAAGAGCCAATATTTTAAGCATATTTAAACTCAATATTTGAAACAAACCATAATCTATTTGGTGATGAATTCAACTGATATGGAGCTGCATGGATATCAAGCTTAATGATAGCTATATTCAACCTACTTTTCCTCCAGGTCCAATCGAAGGTTTGTGATTCGCTGGCGGGCACCTTTCATTGCCGCCCTCAAATTCTGTCGTATTTCACCTGGATTTTCCAGATCGGATTTATGCTCCGAGTAGCCATTTACTAAGCCACTGTGGCCTCGGGTGAAGGAATCATCTGTTGAGTTGTCAAGGTATTCTAGCCCTTCGTGAATTGACTCCATACTGGACGCAAGAATATTCCAGTAAATAAATTAGTGTTTAGACATATTCAATGTTGGCTGCGTTCTAACCAATCAGCAGTGAGACAAAGTCTTGACGCCTCAGAGCGCATACACGCAGTATCGAACAAGAAACATGGCAGCCTTCTACTGTGCTTTCCCCCGCAGACTCCTAATGAAGTCTTTTTGGCGGCTTAGTTCTTCTCAAAAACTCTTCAGAAGCACGTTGTCGTTCAATTTACTGACCAGAATTCACGGAAAGGCCAAATTCTCCAGAAAAGCGGTCGGTCAAAGTGAGGCGACTTTTGAGGCGAATGGCACAAATTGTAGTGAAAATGTGGTCAGTGTTAGTACAAATTCTTCTTTCGTCCACCCTGACAAACGAACGATATTTGTGGGGAAACTAAATCCCATAGCAACAGAAAATTCAATCAAGGTTTACTTCGCTCAGTTTGGAGAGGTGGAAGAGGTTTTTTTGAAAAATCCCAAGAAGTTTAAGCAAATGTGGCCATATGCATACGTGCAGTTCAAAGATGTCTCTAGCATGGAAAAGGTTCTCTCTCAAAGGCATTTGATTCACATGAGATACGTGCAAGTGGATGCAGCTTATATGAAGAACTCTCAAAACAAGATTTGCGTCTGCAATGTTCCACAGGAAATGACAACATCAGAGTTAAAGGCGCATTTTTCACATTATGGGGAAATCCAAGACGTGAAGGTGGTCCTTATGGTTAATCCTCGCTATTGCTTTATTGAGTTTACAACCGCAGATGCGGTGCTAAAAGCTCTTGAAAGTCCCATCCATAAAATTGGTGAGAGCGAGGTAGTTGTGAAGAAGAGCATTGAAAACGCGAAAAAGATCCATGTGAAAAGGAGAGTCTGTATACATGAAGTTCCAGAAGGGCTAACATTGGAACATTTGAAAGATTACTTTGCACAGTTTGGAAGGTTAGCATTTATCGATATGATTTTCATGCGTAATCACAAGCTGAAAAGAGACATGGCAATTTTGGCCTTTTTCAATGACGAGCCTGTCCAAGTGTTAGAAAAAAATTACCTGCACATAATTAAAGGAGAAGAGGTGATGGTAAGGCGCGCCAGGTCTCAGGATGGGAACAAGGAGCGTAACGTACAAATCTTTGTGGACAAGATTCCAGGTTGTGTAAAGAAGGGAGAACTGACACAGTATTTTGAAGGATTTGACGATGATGTTATCCACCTCAGCATGAAGAGGTGGGGAGGAAAAGAAAATTTTCAAAGTGCATTTGTTACTTTTAAGAAAAAATATACAGTTAACAAAATTATGGCCAAAGCTGAACATTCTATTGGTGCAAGACAGTTTATCGTTAAAAGGTTTGGATGGAGTGCTTGAGAGCTCTAACTTGTCATTAAATTAGGTGGACACAAAGTTTGTTTCTGAATTTTACAAAATATGTTCAAAAGTTTCATTCTGATTGGCTGGGAGAGATGAAGTTTTCAGGTAATATAATGCAGGAGAGATTATTCAGTGGAAAAAAAACGTAACAGAGTGTTTCACTGGGCATTGAAATTTTTTGCAGCTAAGAAACTTAAAGAGAAAGAAAGTTTTGTTTTTTGGTGAATGTGGTTGTCTTGATTTGATGGCGAAGGGAAGACTGTCTTGATCATTGTGCCCGTGGGGAGTACTCCATAAAGTGGAAATATTAATTTTTCCTCTCTACCATAACTATTATTTTGATCACTCATTTACCAATGCTGTTTGATTTTCACTTGGTCGTGAGAAAAGTGATGCACACTTTGTAAAATGTTCACCTTCCTTTTTATTGTTTTTAAGTAAATCAGAAATATAGGTATGATATGGCTACATTCACTTGCATTTCTTCAATATGAAGTGTACCAATGTAAGAATGTTTTGCAAGCAAACCATGTTCATGTGAATTGAGGCTGCCCAGCTACCGTGACCAGGAGCACACACCTCCTTGATCTAAAATTTTACTGTGTCCATAGAGTATTTCAAGGAATTTCACATATACATGGCAGAATAATAACCTACGATTGGGTAGTAGCATACAGGCAATTGTAAGAAAAGTTAAAAATGGATAGTTTGCAAATTTCAGCCTAAAAATATATTATGCATTCATATTCTCAAAAATAATGAAAATGTTAATTTTTTCAAAGTTCTTGGAACTCACTCTAATTGCCTCCTAAACCAGTGGAAAAGAATTGTGAAGTGTAATTTTGTGACACTTGTTGTCCTAATAATATCAAGGTATACATGTAAAAATTGAAATCACTGTCGAGGATAGAAGGGCAACTGCAGAAATCTAGTTAAGGCAAAATGATAAGAGTTCCATAACTTTTTTTAGTAATTAAGAAGCTCTCCCTCACAATACTTCGAATTTCACTAAAAAAAAAAACTTTCCATCTGATAGATGGAAATAGTGAATTTTTTTTGAAGGGCATATGAGGGAATTAAAAAATTTGCAGTAGATTTTCCAAGATCTTCACACTGTCCTGTAGTTACATGATCAAATCTTACTGTAAGTCAACTAAACTGCTCTAAAATATATGACAAGAATAAATAAATTGACTTTCCCTTCACATGAAAGAGACCAACTTAATAAAAGGAGTGAAAATTTAAACCTAATAGCTGCATCCTGTGGGTTGCAGCAAGTTGAAAATGGGATTAAGGTTGCCACACTATTGAAAACTGGAGTTTAATTCATTAGAAACAACCTCAGATCCACATAAAATAATTTGTCTTTCACTCACAAGCAGTGATTCGGCAATAGAAGTTTACACACAAACGGGCACTTGTGGCATTGGAAAGTGCCAAATGCCATTCACCATTACATGATTATCTTCAATACCCCTTTCTCACACAACTGCAGCTATTGCCAGTACACTACAATGTTCTCTGTTTCAATTATACCAGTACCTCATCAAGCCATGTGATACAGTATGAAAATAACAATGTTTCAGACACAAACAATAATAATAAAGTTAGTTTTTTCGGGATTCATGCTGTGATTTGTCTGCTCCTATATTTGCTGGATCTCTTCTTTTAAATATTAACAAGACCGGTTTCCATTCACTACAGACAATTTTTTAATACAATCCACAGAGAAGTTGGTCTTCAACTTGCCAACCTACCAGTCATACCAGATTTAGCAAATATGACAAATTCGTTGATAGGAACAATTTCCATGGAATAAGTCCTCTACTGGAATCAAACACAACCATGCTGTGAAATCCTTTAAATAAACACAGCCCTTGAACCTCAAATGTAGTGCACTGACTTGTGCACTAGCACTACATTCAGAATGTTAATTTTTAAAGAGACAGGTTTAAGGCTTCAGAACACGTGATCTGTAAGCAGCTTGGTATAACTGTTTCAGAGAAACAGGGTGATCACAAATGAAAATCCTGCTCCAACACCCAAACCAATGATGAGCATGAAAGCCATCATAGTTCCTGCTGTTTCTGCATGTTCTGGCTCCACCATGCTGTGATAAAATGAAAAGGAAAAAAAAGAGTGAAAATTAACCTTTAGCATCTAATCTCCTTGTTCCAAATCCATAATATCTAAACTATAACCCAAAATTATTAGGAAGTCATTTGCATATTCTGAACCCACAGACTTAATGAATAATCACATATCAAAAACAAAAAAAGATAAATAAGTAAGAACCACTTATCACAGAATATTGATTATAATAAAAGCCCTACATTTCAATAGACACCAAAGTTTCCACCACTTAACTTTACTCTTTAATTCCCAAGAACCAATTCTTAATTCTCCCATCTAACTGTTACACATTTCCTTGTAAATTTGTTATGAGAACTTGGTGTTAGATCAATAACAATTTGAGTATTCTTATCACCTGTTTGCTGATTAATGTAAGGACATTGTAAAAAAAAATGGAATGCTGATCAATTCTGGGAGTTTAAGGGCTAAACCTTACACAGCACATCTGATGAAAGTAATAACCCCTAGCTTTTATTTAAAAGATCACCACCAATGATTTATTTCAGTAACATGCGACAAAGTGTGAAATTATTTCTTTACTTGAAAACAATCCTGACAAAAAAATACAAGTTCAACCAAGTGTGATTGCTAAATATTTTCCAAAACAATTTACTCATGAAAACTAAATGAGGTAATTTGAGTGTAGGTTTTGTCTTTATCATTACCATTTTAATCATCATCACCATCACCACAATGCAACTACAGATTAATTAGTAATATATCAGTAAATAAATAAATAAATTACTGTTTAACTTACGATGGTCCATACATCATGCACAAGCTTCCAAGATAGCCATTTGAGATGGCAAATAACACCATGAATATTATTGGGAAGTAATCCTCATGGAAAAATATTGGAGTGCCATGTGGTCTCGGCAATGCATTACATAATGCAAACAAAGGAAGGAATACCACTCTCGAGAAACAGAGAATAGGCAGAAGATAGCCATCTTTGCCAGGCTGAAAGAAAGTTGGATGAAGTAATCAGTAAAACAAACACTCATGAATGACCAAGTTGTATTCTTTGATAAATGGCTGCATTTAAGATATTTTTCAAAAGTAAATGGAGCTGTACACATCAAACTTGCACAGCAACAGTAGTAAAGGGACAAAGCTAAGGAAATCTCAAACAGTTAGAAATCTCTACAGCTGACTAAAACTACAAGGTGATTTTTTTCATAGTGCTCCACAAGGAATCAATAGTAAGAACTTGCCCTAATGATTTGCACCTAACAAAATATTGTTACTACACTCAACTACGCATTTTGTATGGATTTTATCATTATTTAGTTAACCCTTCAACCCCTAAATGACTAGCATCTAATTTCTCCTTATAATTTCACCCCCAATTCATGCATTGAGAATTCATGAAAATAAAGGAGATGATCACCAACTAAAGAGGCTCCTGGTTGTTTTTAAAAAAATGCTCCTGGTCAGCACCTTAGGAAATATATAGAGGACAGTATGGAGAATATGAATACTGATGTTAGGGTGTAAAGGGCTACTTCTACAATAACTGGTTGTTTGCTATAAACTTTTGAATACAAACTGTGCTGGTTAACCCCTCCAAGAACAATTTAAAATGCTCTTATCCAAAATACTCACCCACTGTGTAAAAGAAGCTGCTAGTCGGCCACAGAAGTCCCCAACATTGAACAAAAGGAAGCATGTTACAGGAACAAAATAGATTTCTACAAACAAACAAACAATGTCGAGTAAGTAGCTTTACAAAATTAATAATTGCCCAAAAGATGTATGTGTGGTACTGAAAGTTATATGGAACTCTTCTGTTAGGATTTTTTAGTTGGTGTATTCACATCCAAGATTAGGATATTGACAGCTCAGAGACAATACCAGGTAAAGTAATGCAACTCTAAACAACATTGACTCAAAACAAGCCTCAAATTGTTGCTTTCAAGGTCATAATTTGCATCCTGGAGACTTTGTGCATGCCTTTAGATATATCTTTTTTTCATTTTAACGATTTTTCTTTTAATTTCTCCAATTTAAAGGGGATTTGTACACAAAGCTATGTAATAAAAAAAAAAGAGGCCACTGTACTCATTCAAAAGCTTAAAACCATTGTACCTCTTTACCTGGCCCATTGTTAAAAAAATAGCATGTTCTTGGAATGCACAAACATGAATTTGCCTATTTATGTGATTATAAAGCACAGTACTGGGTGTGCAGTACAATACTAAGGAATCACCATATGCTACTGGGACTTTCAAGAAATGGGCTCCTGGTGAAATTTAGTTTTGCTTTGTTCCTTTCTGGTTGGTTGGGACAATGACACAGGTTCTCTAAAATAATCACTGCATGAAGTAAAGAAAACCAATGCACTCTTGCATCACTTTTAAGAATCAATTATCTTATGTTGCTCTTTAAAAATATACCAGTCACAATTTTTTATTACAGTTATTTTCTTACTTGTCCACTCTGAGCCATCCTCTTCGTGCTTTGATCGTATTCTGGATGTCAATGAAGGAAAAGCTGCTAATGTCACAAAGAATACAAACGCAACAGATGAACCTAACTTGAAGATCTGCAAGAAAAAAGAAAGAAAATAATAATAATAATGAAAGACACTCATTTATAAATATCCTTGAAAATAGCCCATACATGAAAAGTTCCCTTCCCTCCCAAGTACTGTTGTTTGCATCTGAGCATGAACATGTGACATCAAAACATGATCTGACTGGGTGTTACCATTAGAAAGATTGTCATTACATAATGTGCGTTACTGACCAAGCATGAGGTCAAGATGGCCGGATATTAGCCTTGTTTTTTAAATTGCTTTTTTGGGGACCTTGACTTTGTCTTGGTCTATTAAAACGCAAAAAAAGAACTCAGCCAATATCCAGCCTTATTGACCATACAAGCTTGAACAATAAAGGATTTATTACATATCAAAAACATTTTGCTTAATAATCAAGAGTGACTTGTTTATTTCAAAAGCCTGGAAAGAAAAGCAATCTGCATCAGTTGCACAATAAACCCACTAGATTTGTTTATGCTCTTTTTGTTTTGAATGCCTTCTGCCACTTTTTGCAACTCCATTACCAAAATTGTCCAAAAATGACAAACTTTGAAAGTCTGCTCCATGCACTTTTTTTCCTTGCATGAGATCAAAGCAGACAATCCCAAGCAGGCAATATGGGCCCATCTTGCCCACTCGGGGTACAGTATTTGCTTCATATTCCTCAAAGGTGCTTTCAGCTATACAATAATTAAAGTTTTGGCATCATGGGTTTACCCATAGATGCGAGTGATGCTATTGTCATCACAAAGAAGTGGATGACAAGCCTACACAATCGTACCATACCTGTCTAAAAATCACAAAAAATGGTGGCCTTTCATTCCCAACAGCTTCTGCTTCTTTTGGATGAAACTTAACTGACAGAAGTGCCTCATTATCCAAACCTTAAAAACAGACCACTCAGAGAAATAAGTGTGAGACCAAAAATAAATTATTAATTTGCCTCTTCCATGATCAAAAAGAAGTAAAACAAAAAATAATCATGTGAGATATTCTCAAACTTAGATAGAACTAGACTACTCCCAAAAAAAGAAGAATTTCATTACTTCAAACTTCCTGATGACTAGTAATATCAGTTTAGGAAACTGAGGGTCACAGACAACCATGATAAATTTACAGTGATCTCAAGAAAAACAAGTCCACATCTTGGATGCAGACATCCAAGATAAGCATTATTATGAAATTACTGAAGGGTCCAAATCCTGAATGCTGCCATTTATAAGATCAGGATATAAACTTTGCTCTTACTTAAGTTTGAATTTTGAATGTTCCCTGATCGTTTTACAGCTGGTATCTGCCAGTTTGCCAGTCTCTCAATCTGTTCACTTTGACTATATGGGCTCTCTGTGAAGAAAGCAACAAGAAAACCATCGATAAATAAATCATGGACTTAAGCCCAGCAGATGTCTTCAGTGATAGATAGGCAAGAAACAATGAATTAACCCCTTAAGTCCCAGAGGTGATTAACATGTAACTTCTCTTTGTAATATCCATAAATAATCAAGCAAATGGCTCACGAGAACACTCAAACTTATCAGGTAGAAGTTGTTATCTTGATCAACACCAAATTCTCATAACTAATTTATAAGGATATGCACAGCAGCTAGGGGGAGGGGGGGGGAAAATTACTGCTAGACCTTGTGAATCATGGGATCAAACACAAACTGTAATTGACATGGTAAGCAAAACATGTTGGCCAGAGCAACAATTATTTGTCACACAGTTTAAAGCCAGTTTATTCCGAATGGACCTGATGTGCTATTAGGAGGGAAATTGTGCTTTACTGATCTAGCCACCTCCTTCATATCTTATTGAAAGCACTGAACACTATCACTAAATTGTCCAAATATTGAGCCTTGTAAGTCTGCTCCAAGTATTTTTTTTTTAAACTTGTAAGGGATCAAAGCAGGTGATTCCCAACAGGCAGGATGAGCACATCTTGCCCACTTACTGGCCAGTCAGAACACAGGATTCACTTCATATCACTCACAGGCACTAAACAAACAAGCGAATACAACATAATCTATACTTACTGATTTCAGTTCTTCTACTATTTGGTGCTATATAATGTCTAGCAAATTTCTATAGGAAAAAAAAACACAATTTTGAGTGGAGACTATGTTTTGTTTCATTCTAAACTACTCTACCTTCAGCAACTACTAATATATCTATGATGCACTATGGCAAAGTGCTGTTAGCATTTTGGAATATTTTAATGAAAAATAGGTAAAACCTTAAGATTATAAAAGAGTGCACAGGTCTTCAGATACTAACCCGCAATGAGGGAGAATTGAATTACACATTGAGTTGTTAATTAAAAACCCTACAAAGACTTCTGGTAATTAAGTACAAAGAAAACAAAAGCCAAATTAAAGCTGGCGACACATCTGGTGATTTTTGCCAATCACAGTGATTGGCAAAAATCACCAGGTGTGCCCTATTGTAGTGATGGTGATTTGAAAAAAAAAAACAGCTGCTATCTGACAGGCTACTAGCAATCAAATTTACTATGATTGGTGAATAAAATTGCTAAGTGGTGTTACCTACTTAATTAAGTTAAACCCTTGACCAAAGACAATTTGTTTTTAGTGCGTTTTCATCTACAGAGAAGTTTACCAGCAAGCCTTGCCTTTGAAAACTGCACCCCTTTTTCTATAATTGAAAAAGCCTAACACTCCAACCTTCTTACCAGTCTATTTAACATCATGTATGTGATAAGACATAGAGTGAGCACTATTGCTGCTGACATGAAGTACCCGAAGCCACTGCTTACAGCATCCTTTCCTCCTAGAGGAAAAAAACCAAGTAAACACTTTAAGAAAAGTGATGCAAACTGTTCATTACAAGAAGAAAAAGTTTTTCTGAAAGAGCATTTTGATGGAACATGACTGAACTACAGAGAAAACAATGGAAAACAACACAGATTTGTGCACTATTTCTATGATTCTACGAGCCCATAGAAAATAACCCAAAAAATACTATGAGCAGAAAAACATTCATGATTGCAGTGTGATTTTCATAGAAAAATTAAATGGTATATTAGGGCAAATCCAGTGCAAACTCAAGATAGGAACTACAAATAACTTGCTAATTTAAACCACTTTTTGTTGTGTGACCAAACAAGCATGTACTAGTAGGAAAATAAGGAGTCTACTTTGCCAATAAAGATGCTGAAATTCTTAAGCAAACTTGGTTTTCCATACATGTATTTCAGACCTTGTGACCAGAATTATCACCAATATTCAGTGCAAACTCATATTTCTTTCAGCATCCAATGACAAAACTCTCTCAGACTATCAGATTGTAGACAAATAAAGGGCATAAGTTTCTAAAGAAACTGTGGTGATGGGTCAAGGGGGGGAGGTTGTTACAATATAATTTGGTTTTAACAAATGAGTTAATGATGTAAATTGGACACCTCTTAGAGTTTCTAAAGCTGATGTTTAGTATTAGCCTTTTGTCAGATGCTCAAAATTAAATTCAGCTAACACTCAAAATATCAGCTTCAGAAACTCTTTATGGTGGCCAATTCACAATGTCAACCCAGCTTATAAAGCCAAACTATAAGATGATACATGTTACTTACCAAGCAGTGAGAATATACTAGCTAAAGCAGCAAATGTGCCTCCAACACCCTGCCCAGAGAGAGGATGTTAAAAAAGTTGAGCTGAATGACAACAAAAACATTACTTAGAAGCGAGGGAGAGAGGTTTTGAATTATCTGATTAAGAGGGTTTACAAATGAGGAAAAAGAAAATCTAGTAGAAAACCTGTAGACCGTTTCCTTCTATTTGATTTTTCTTATCAAACATTCTGTTTATCTTCACTATGCTAAAGAAAACCAGCATAGTACATTGTACCTTCTACTGGTCACAGAGTCAAATCTGCACTATTACTAATGTCAGTTTAATATCTATTAGAGACCATAAACATTAAGTACTTTACCTGACCAGTCATAACAGCTCCAGTGTATTTTGGAGGCATCATTCCACAGACACCAAAGAGTCCTCCTTGATAAATTGCACTGCTCACTGCAGAGGACAGAAACTCAGGATTAACTTAAAATGTCTTTGTACATAAAGGCTCCATGTCTCTGCACACCTGTGACAGCACCAGTGTTCAACATGCAATTAAATTTGAAATATGCACCAGCATGGAGGACCCACCCATAAACCATTCATCAATAACAAGCATAAAATATGAGCTTGTCCACAACATTCAAGGTAAAGCTGCCTTCAAAGAGAGTGAATTTAGTGGCTTTTGCTATCAACTCCCTTCTTTCCAATATCTATACTTGTACATGGACAATGCTCATGTTCAGAAAATTACTTCATATTTTTTCAGGTGATCTGAGATATCAATTTGTTTGTAAAATACGTTTGTAGAAAAAAGATAACAAAACCATCTTTACAAGATCAGTTATCAGATCAGTTATCAGATCAGTTATCACTTACTGTTAATAAGGATGATAGTTCCAATTGTGATGTAAAAGAAATCTGTTGTCCCTGTGGATTAAATAAAAATATCCAAAATTATAATCACTTCATTTGAGTATAGCTAAATCTGCTAAATTTCCAATACCTGTCAGTTTGAAAATTTCCAGAAATTTGAAAGGATTCTTATTATTGTCACTTGTGAGAGTAGGAGGATTCAAGAATGGAAGAATAAGAAAGCATTGAGCTTCCTTGCTTGTAATTAGTGCAACATCGCAGTTGCATGAACAAAAACAGACACAACATAAGAGATATCATGGAGTAAACAACTATGCTCAGGGCATGAAATTAATTTTTTTTCTGATAGCCACTTGGCTCCTAAATTCTTCAAAGTGGTAGCCAATTCAAAAAAAGTTGGTCGCCATTTTCAAAGACAAACAAAACCTCCTTTTAAGCTGTCAGCATTCTAGACAGCCCCTCCAAAACTAAGTTTGGGAAAAGATCTTTAACGTGCTACAAAGTGGACACTAGGATGGACAATATACAACGTTAAAGCTCACTTAATTCCAAGATAACATCTAGTTATCAATCGAGATGCATCTGTTGCGTTTTGGAAACAAACATAATGAGGAAGTTTGCGAAGGATTTATCTTTGCAAATCTTTTTAATTCACTATATCTCTTGGTAAGGTTATGATGAAACATTCTAGTTGCCAATTTGGCGACTAATTTCCAGGATTTGGTCACCAAAGTGAAAAAGTTAGTTAAAAAAAAAAAAAAAAGAAAAAGTTAGGCGCATTGGCGCCTGTATTAGGAGCAATTTCACGCCCTAGCAAAATAACAAAGTTCTGAAACTTGCAGTATAGACCAAGAAAACAAGAACAGTAAGATATTTCATATCTTGTATCTGTGGGTTCAAATAGAGGGGTATAAATTCAAATCCCACCAAACTCTAATTTAACAGGCTGTATAATTATTTAAATATGGTCACTAACTATAATACAACTATAAATAAAGATAGATACTCACATTTTTTGGTGTCAATCACTACCAAGACTGTTGTCAAAACAAAACACAATGTCATAATACACACTGATGTAATCATTCTGACTTGCAGTGAAACCCTGAAAGAAAAGTGTGTCAATAGCTAATTTTGTGAGGATAATTTGAACAATCAAGTATTTAAAACAGTTCAATTTTTGCATGCTTGGCTCAATATTATTAACACTAAAACAGGATTTGGCCAAAGCTTGAGTCTTGTGTAACAGAATATATGAAAAAAATTGTATACAGTAGGTGCAAACAGCCCATGTGTCAAAATAGAAGACATCAAGAGCTTTATTTTTGCGTGTGAGAATCACATTGTTTCCTCAATTCTGTGAATTGAGAACCTTGAAATTAATCCTCAACACTCCATTCTCAAAAGTTTCAAAGTTTAAGTCTAGACTGTCAAAGGTACTATTTTGAAGGGAAAAAAAAACATTCTTACTTGTGCTTAAAAAGGGTGTTGAGTAAGAACATTAGAACATTGGGTACCATGGCTGCTACTGAAAAATAGTTCTCAAAGCTATGCTTCAGATCTTCATGTGCCTTTAATTTTTCTTGGAAATACTGTTAAAAACAATAAAGAATAAGTGTGAGTAATCTGGTGAACATGAAAATAAAATTTGCCATATCCTAAAGCAAACAATCGTATCTCACAAGAAATCACATTTACCCTACAAAAATAAAACAAAATAACAACAACAAATCTAATTGCTACAAAAAGAGGTGTGTTTTGAATGTAAGGGAGTATTATCAACAAAACCAATGGAGAGAGAAACCTAAAGAAATCCAGGGCCTTAGGAAGACCTTAACACCTCAGGCTTCTTTTCTAGAAGATAAAATAACTGATTTAACAGAGATGATTGTTTCATTTCATGCATACAATCATTATACTTACTGCATGTGCAGTGATGAACATGTTCCAGGGCAACAGGGTGCCCACTCCTTGAATAAGCATGATAAGGTAGACCACATTGAACCTGCATAAAGACATTGTTACTGTTTCATAAACATAACCATAGAATACTTTAAAAGGATTTAAAAGTGTTAAAGGAAAAAACAAAAGAAACTTGCTCGGTGCTTGTGTCACAATCTTTATGAAGTGAAGGAATGTTTCTGCTAAGTCCCGCTAAATAAGTTACACTTAAGGGGTTGGGGATTTATTGGGTTTTGTGATGATGTGGTAAGTGACAGTGACAGAAGATATTTTGGTCTGGGTTTCAACACTATCTGCTGACTGCACTAATTTAAAAAAATGTTTAAGAAAAAGAGCAAAATAAGCTCATGACAATGCTTATAAAGTAATGAAGGAAATACTTCTTCCCAGTATCATCAAATCAACATCATTTAAGAGACCAATATTTTCTGTTTTTTGATGAGGTAAGTGACAGTGAAAAATTACAGCCAATAGTTTGATCTGCATTTCATCAGTATCCACTAACTTCAATAAATCTAACCACAGGCAGATCACACTATGTGTTCATGGTTAATAATTGTTGACCTGAGACAAAAAAAATCTATGAGGGTTAAGAATAAAGCTATGGAAATGACACATCAAATTTACATCTCCTTCTGAAAATCTCAATAGGGTTAAATGGAATATCAATTGATGCATGTAATATTTTTTAGCCCTCATGGGCCATTTGAAGCCTTTTTGTATGAAATTACTTTTAGTCAGAGGCCATTAAGATCAATGTTGTTGTTGATCAATGAGACGTTGCTCTGTCTATTTGCCGAATTTGAGCTTCATCCCTCCAACAATTTCTGAGAACATCAATCCTGAAATGATGAGTATCTTTTTCTCAATATGATTGGTGCCAAACTCAGCAACCAAAGAAATGCAAGGCAGGAAGGCTTTTTCAAATTTACCATACAGCGCAGCAACTTCCTGTGGCAGCCCACTGCCGTTCAAAACCAAGTTATACACTGATTGGTAAATTTGAAATGAACTGCACACTTCAAATTCTTTGGCTCGCTAAGTTTGACCTAAATGTAATTTAGATATGCAATTTTCAGAGCTTCATTCTTAACCCTCAGAGATTTTGTTCCCCTCATGGCAATAATTATTTACCATGAACAGATAATGTGATCTGCCTGTGATCTAACACAACTAACTCTTCCCTTGACTCTAATAATAACTGCTGGTGAGGTGCTCATATATTAACCACACTTGCCATCAACATTCCTTGTCAACACGAACTTCACCATGACAATCAAACTACAATTTATAATTATCCCTTTACTGCTACAACCAATCCTTTTACTGGATTATCTTTTTCTCCTTCTTTATCTTTCAAGAATTGAACTACACTTGATGCTTCCTTAACCCTTTATATCCTAAAATCAGTATGCATATTCTCCATACTACTCTTTACACATCTCCTAAGGTGCTGACAAGGAGAATTTGTTTACAAATCAAAAGCATCTTTTGTTGGTGATCATTTCCTTTATTCTTATGACCATAATGTGCAATTCAGGAGTGATATTATGGGGAGAAATTTGATGCTAATCACTCTTACGGTTTATAAGGTTAACTTTCAATGCTGCCTAATCAGAACATCAACTCTTGGTCAATATTTAAATCCATTTATAACTTGTTCTTACTTCCACTGAACTTAATCTTTGTTTCTAGTAATTCTACTGAACTATGCTCTTTAATAATTGTAATCTTCTTATCTCAATCTGTGAGAGAAATACAAGGCACAGCAACATCATAATTCAGAATTTTTAATTCATAAAGGGAATAATTCCTTGTTGCCGATAGCACAGTATCTAATGCCAGCTATTGGCAGTGATAAATTAAATATCACGTCATGATCACTAAAAGAAAAGCATCCTTGCTCTAAAAACATGTTAAAACAAGATCCCATACCTAATTTTGACTGTAAGATCCCATCGCTAATTTTAATCATAAAAGTATTAAAGGTCATCTCCTGGAGAACGTCAGAAGAAAAAAAAAATTGAACTCTCATCGACCACCAACGTTGCCAATTCATCACTCAAATTAATTCTTTATCTTTTCGCATAAACGTAACTCTTTCGTTAACATTAAACAAGGTGTATATTGCTCAGGAACGACATGTTTCATGAGCATGCTTTGAGTAGGAAACTTGGAAAATTTAAAAAAAAAGTTGCTCATAAAAAATATCTTATTATGTAATCGGATTATTTTCGTCCAACACTGTAATTTGTTCTCAAGTTACGATGTCAGCAACTTTGCAACTTGTTGCTGTTTTCTTTTTTTAGAGATTTTCATCGTCGTTTGACTTCTAACTTCATGCATGCACGAAAAAACTGAACTCACTTAACCTGTGATTACGGTTTAGCTACCACAGTGGATGTTCGCACTAAAGTAAAATCCAGGTTTCGGCAAGGGGTTTTCACAATAATTGAATATCCGCTGCAGAATGTCCGCCTATTGAATTTCCGTGAGGAATACGTAAATCTCTCACGTTCGCATCTTTGCGACAAAGTCAAAACCACTAAAGTGCGGACGTCATATTTTCTTTCCAATTTGTTTTCTTTTTTTTTTTTTCAAAATACCTTTGATTAACCACCTGCCTTTGTATTTCTTTTCTAACATAGTCATTCGTATTTAACACTGAGGTTATGTCTGTCAATTTTCTACGTTGGTTCAAACATCTGATCGGCTCACTATTTCAAATGATTAGAGTTTACCCCCAAAAGAGATGTTGGAAAAGCTCGGGAAGGAAGCTCCAAGGAAATACAAGTTATCGCACAAGAGAGTGGGAGATGAATTAACATAACGACTCTGCTGACAATTAATTTTGTTTTAGCGAGCTTAACAAGTCCTTGGCTGCTGCCAGCGACATGTATCAACTTTGTCTCTTCCAGGTAGCTCAAGCAATCGAACGGACAAAGCTTCCCCCATCTAACAACCATAAACACTCGCGAAATTGAGTTTCAAACTTAGAAGCTTACATTGTTCGACAATAAACCACTGACCCTAAAAATAAATTAAGTTATACGTAAACTGTAAATATAGCATTTCTCGGTTCTCCTGGAAGTTTTCTCAAAGCAGGCAACTTATCTGCAAAGATTGGCTCTCATTCTGGACTACAGGATGACTAAAACCTAACACAACCTGTTCCGGAGAACAATAAGTGAGCTAAAAGTCTTATAAGCGATAATGCAACGGAAAAGCACTTTCTTCTCTCGATGCCGACTAAGTCAAGCTCAAATTCTACAGTTCTATCTTTTTCTAACTATCTACGAGTAGCATACCTATCTTTAGGCTCCATTGATACGATGAGGGTTTTCTTAGCTGTACTTTTCTCTCTCTTCTCGAGAAACGCTTTCGTCTCGACTTTGACTTCTTCGCCACCGGCACCCATATCGAAAAGAAATTTCCAGCAGATCTGCTATAAAGCTGCTAAATATTCTAACAGTGTATCCACAGTAACTAATATAAGACAAATCGATGCGTAGGAATTGGGCGAAGATTTCTGAGGGTTTGCGATGCTCTGAGAGCAAAAAAAAATCTGCAATCCCAATCTGAACGAAATCTGAACGCGTTATGTGTGTTGCCAAATTTGGCGCAGGGCTTTTGATAACCTGAGGGCGGTACAAAAGCACTTGGCAGGGTGGGGAGGGACGCTTCCAAACTTTCACAGTTTATTGATCTACACTGCCTTTGTGAGTCCAATATCCTCTAGTTTGAACGTAGTCTAACTCTAAATCCAGGAAATCAATTTTTTACTCATATTTTAACTCAAATTGTGCATTCCTATCTCTAACTTTGCCTTAAAAAAAGTGCTAATCTATCCTCCCATGCAAGAGTGAATATTCCGTCCACGCTATCACGTGCAGGTCACACATCTTGCATGTAGCTCTGCTGATGTGAGATAGATTTTCGTCATTTTCATTTTTTGCTGATGTAAATCTTTTCATTTTCTTTAAGTAAACTAGTGTTACATTAAGAGTATCACTACGATTTTGACCCAATTTTATCGTGTGCGGTAAATTGCAGAGAAACTCGATATGCATCTTTGCTTTGACTATTTGCGACCGGAAGTGGCGGCAAGAGCAAAAAAAAAAGAAAAACACTCTGCAGGAATAACGTTCGTCCATTGCAAAACATGCCTTTATTGATCTCATTTCACGTATCTTCAAACTAAAAGAAAACAACGAAAAAGAGAGGTGCATATTGAAAAGAACAGCTACAAAAGGAACAGCTTAAGAACGATTTGAGTGAAGAGAAGATGCGTGTGTGATCATTTCCGGTCAAATGAACCGAGATATGTTATGCGACCTTTCGTGATTCAGTCTCATAAAAAAATGCGTTTGCTCACGTCCTACGATGTCTCTCTTTTTATTTATTTTTTTTTAATGGAAGACAACACTTCAATCCATCAAACAAAAACCATAACAAACGTGAGGAAGAACAAGTAGGAAAGTCTTCCGATTTATCTGGGGAACTCCTGGCAAGTACCTCCTGAACGCCCTGTCCCATAGGGAGCTTTGAGAGGTGAGGTAGGGTTAAGACCAAAGCTAAAATTAGAAAGGCATGTTCAAGCTTGAAAATTCCTGTGCAATTGATATCCAACCATCTCAGACATTCAATTTTTCCGTTCAGTATCACCCTTGAATCAAAGGTCACGACAATACAGGAAATGATCACCAATTTAAGAAGCTCCAGATTGTTAAACAAATTCTCCTTCTCAA